CAGTGAGCTGTGGCCATGAGACCTCTAAAGGGTCCGAAACGACACGTCTGAAAAAAAATATACTTAGATCCGAATTATTTTTCATTTCAATTAAAAGGGACTCTAAGAATTTAAATTTTTAAAAGAATTTGTCTAAAATGAAGTAAAAGTCGCCATGACAAATCTATAATCTAGTTTCATTTTATCCTGCACCGGATTTGCAATATGAAGATGCAATTCATTGTTTTGTAATAACGTGTACTAAGCACACGCCTGACAAAGTTACGGTATGCAATCGCTTGTTTGCATCGATGCAACTGCAAGTATCGCGCGTTTCACAAACGCTCGCTTGTATAGCTGCTAAAGCGTGAAACACACAGAGAGCGGGTGCGGGTCGGACGTGTGTCGGGTCGGGAGCGTTCTCTTTGTGTTTCACGCTTAAATGTCGCCATGTGTAACCTCTCTTAACAACTTTAAATTAAATTGCAACGTTAAGAAAGTTAAATCAGTTTTCTTACAAAAGTTAACAATATTTTGATATTAATGAAAAAATAATAATTACAATATTTATGTTCGGTCTCTTCGATTTTGGTCCATATAAAAAAAATATTAATCGAAAAGAGTGTAATTTTAAAACTATGAAGACAGATTACTGGGCTTTATTAGAATGAAAATGTAACTATGGTTTTAAACTATTTATTGTTTTGTCAAAACTACCTTTTAAGAATTGTATTTTAATGTGCCAGACGACCGCACCAATGGCTGGTCTCAAACTAGGGAATTCCCCGTACTATGAGTACCAAAGCAACAGAAATGACTCTGGGGCACTTCCCAGAACATCGAAACCAGAACCAATTTAAAAAAGTTCGTTTCCCATATTGGTGTTACCGGGAATCGAGTCCGGGACCTCCGCAACCAGCAATGCAAACCGTTAGGCCACTGAGGTCGTCAAATAATGACGTGTCAGTGGCGTTACCGATTGCACACGGTGTAATTTATAGCCTCTGTAGCTGATAAATAGACGTATCACACATTTTTATTTTTTAATAATTTATATTTTCTTTTTCTTTACATGTAACTTTTTCTATTAATACACAATATTCGAGAATGTTTAAAAAAAAAATTACGTACATAAAAATGTTTATTTTTTTATTGAATATAATTCTTACTATCACGATATTCATCTATTTTTTTAAAGTAACCACGTTGAGGCGACTGCAGCTGGTTCGAGTCCCACCAGATCGATGGAATCTTTTTTGCATTTGTCCGATCTTTGTATTCATAATAGTATATAAACATGATAAAAAAGTCACAGAAAATTATGTTCTTTGAAAATAATTATGATTCACTAACAGTAGTCACAGAAGTGACAGAAAATTAATTGAAAACATTTTTACAAAATGAAATTGAAAAAGCTGTTTAAAAAGAGTATCGCCCAGTAAAAAACCTGCTTAGAAATGTGATAACAAGACTAAAACAGGCAAATGTTAATAAATAGTTAAAATTTATATGTCATACAGAGGCACATCTAAGTAATTGAATATTACAAATACAACTGGATTGCTATTATTTATATCATCGTCAACGTGAGAAAATTATGAATTTAGCTGATATCCTAATGTTTAGTTTCATCCCCCTCTTGTATAACTGTTTTAAACAGCATAAGGATTTTTTTGTCAGAGAAAAGTGTTTTCACTTTAACATAATGAATCATGTCATCATCAATGAATTACAGTGCCGGACGCTTTCGGTCGACTTGGAAGTATATAGAGTTGCTATTACATTTTTTTATTCAATGGGAGAAAATCCGCTAAGTCACAGACACGACAGATAATTTACAGCGTGTATTTGTATGTTTTACAAGTCGATACTTACAAGAAAGACAAAAAAGTCCAAAAACGTGTTTCTTTAGCTGGTGGTCATTCAATCTTAACAGTAAAGATTATTTTAAAAGAATATGATAAAAAAGATAAATCAGTTCGTTTTCCTTTCCTTTATATTTTTGTTAACTTGCTTGTTGACATTGAGTAAATGTTATTAAAAATAGGGAAATAGTTTTACAGCTCCACATAATTCACGCGGAAATTAAAACAAAGCAGCAATTAAAGTACGTTGTTCAAAATTCAAATTATTATAGATTTTAAATTTAATAATTAATGGGCATGGAAATTAATATTCGTGTGCATTCGGAAATACGATGATTGCCGATAGACATTGACAAAAAAAGAAGCACTGTATATTCATTATATAAAAAAGGCGACGATTTGTAGTACTTGAAATTTAGTCCCAATAGAGATCCGTGTGAAAGAGTTCATCGAGAGAAGTACTGCCACCATACATATTTCTGCCGCAAAGCAGTAGTGTGAGCATAACTGTGTTGCGGTTTTGAAGGGTAAGGGCGCTGGTGAAATTACAGGCACATGGGACTTCTCAACTTATGTCTCAGGATAACAGGAGCAGTGTCTCTCAGATCTTTGCGATTGAAATGCCATTGGATCACCAGGCGCACATAAAAAAGCTAGTAAGCTCTAGCGACCTCTTTCATCGTCATCCCACCTTTCCTAGTTCTTAGTTTCCTTCCCACGTTCCTAGCCACTTACTTTGAAATTTTGTTCTCTAATTCTTTTCCTATGTCATTCTTGCTCTGCTTCGTTCCGTCGTCACTCCTTACAAAAATTCACGAACCGAAAGAACGTGCTTTCAAAGTGTTGATACCGTAAGTACTTCATGAAGAAAGTTAATGATAAACCTTTATAAGGGCGTCATCAGGGCTCTCAAGGCTACACTACAACCTACAACCTACCTACACGCGGTGCCCGAACCGCGTGACACTCTTATGTCTCAGTTACCACCAAAGTGAGGAAGGGAACGATACATCCTATGACCTTTTTTATAATACGACATGGCTTCAGAGAGGCCCATATTAAATATGGTGAGAATCTGACCACGAGTAACGTTTAAAGTGTTTATACTACTTGGTTGGCGGTGCTACAACTAATAGCAATCACGTTGTTACATGAGAATCATTTATCTAAAACACTACTCGAACACATAACACAAATAACAATAGAAATAAAAAACATTCGTGGCATGTGTGGTGCTTTCGAAAAAATATTTTTTTGCACATTCTATATACGCCTAATATCTCGATAACCATTACACTAATCATTTACTTATTAATTAATTATTTAATTAGAAAAAATACATCCATTTTTCATGATCTATCAATTACATTTAATATTTCTTTTGTTTTCACGTCAATATTGGCTAATGACACGTCCGCCAGAGGACTTAGCACAATGTCAAATTTAAAAGGCAAATGTAATTTGACTTCTAAATTTGACATTTCACTAATCGATTTAGTGCTAGGCACCATTAGTGCCTTTATATGCATGTCATCGTTGCATACAGCTTGCTTTGTAGAAAAAGTAATATAATACAACAGGCAAAGTTTCTATTAAAAATCGACCTAAATCTAAGTGTGATGTCACATGTACATTATGATTTGTTAATGATTTTGACATTAGACTGATATTAATGTCTTTATGTCCTTTAGTGGATGTGTCAATAAGGTGTCAATCACACTGAATGACAGCTTTCGGTATAGTAAAGCGTAAATCTTTGAAATTGTATTTATACATGCACAACACGTTAATTCCACGTCAAACGATTACTTAATTTTAATTGATGATTCCGTTTTTATTTAATTTCGCGAAACAATTTGCATTTTTTTTAAATAGATGGGCATCGAGCGAAGATTTTGTGATTTGTTGCGACTTACAACCTTGCACATATTTACTTTATTCTCATTGTTTTACGAAAGGACAAAAATATAAAAAATATTTTATACTTAGTTTTTACACAAATTATTTTTAGTTTAATACACGTAGACTTTATATTTGTGTCATCGTATCTTATAAACTAGAAAAAAGTAACAGGTAGAGCATAGTTAACAAAATTTCAAATGATGCACATGGAGTGGACCTCTCTCAGAAATCCCTGAATGGTCAAGTATTATTACGTTTTGAGTTTCTTAATTATTTATTACCTGTTCAAGCTTATGGCTCAACAGCCAAGGCTCAATAATAAATACAATAAAATTTCACGAAATATGTCCATTATTTAATGTGTAATTTGCAACTGCAAAATTTAGTAAAAATCGGAAACGTCAAATAAAATATTTACCGAAAATCGTTTAATATGAAAAACGACGTTACGAACTTTTTTTTACAACCGAACGTATAACGCCGGATCAGTGTGATGTGACCCTTAGCCCTAATTCATCCAAAAATATGTACAACAGTCATTAAAACATCAGCGATTGATAAAAATTAAAGAACACATTTTGCTATTCATTTTTTTCTTATTATTAAAAAATGTCCATTTCGATAGTCATATCTAGGGGAACACCTTGAATAGTACGGAATAACGGGGAAAATACGATTTGGGGTAACGAAGCAATTGAGGTTATATGTATGCGGTATGTACTCAAGGAACATACCGTTATGAAAACTTTCAAAAAATTCATTCTTTTTTTAAATGGCATTCAAAATGGCGAGCTTCAACCAGCCTACGAGCGTAATGTAATGAATAAGACAAGTAGTCCAACTCCCGCCTGTGTTGTAGGGTTGTCACCTTATTTTAGTTGTACCTACAAGTTGTAAATGTAATTTGAAAAAATTAAGATATTCATTACAGTCAGATAAGCTTTAATTGATTACTTTTGCTCTCCTCATGACGTAATTATTCTCCACTTCGAATACCTATTCAAGATATTCTCAAAGACGTTAAAAAAATACATGTTGATTTTGTATTTATTAAAAAAACAATAATTAATAACATTTTCTTTTTACTATTTTCGCATCGTCCACTGCAGCTAAGGCATTAAATAAAAACTTAAGACACCTGAGATCTGTCACTCACTTAACTTTTTTTTAAGTTTTTTCAGTTTGTTTTTATCACATTTTTATTTAAATACTGTTTTGCTCTTAGGTGCTTGTTGGGATATGTGATTTCGCGCTGCTGGCGGTTTTTTTTTTTTCAATAAGTGTGACGGGACTTATGAACTGTTACCTGAGATCGCCACACTAGTGGAGGAATTTCGGAGACTTGAAGTTCACGACGCGTACTTGCCTTTACTTGGAGATACCTGCAATAAACCAAAATTCAAATTCGAAATTCGTTTGCTCTAAATTAAAAATTGTTTAACGTTTATACGGGGTGTTCGAAAATACAATTGTACTGTAGTGCAGGAAATCTGTAAAAGATTATGCTTTGGACATGAAACTATTTTTCTGGATCTAAAATAAAGTATATTAGTTTTTTCAAATAAACCAAGATTTCTGGCTTTACCGTATATTAAATTTTTATTGAATTTCAATTCAATTATTTTTTGTGAAATTACTCCACTAGTTTGTTATAATTTGTTCCGGCCGGATTCGAACCGACGTTACCATGCCAGACGCTATTCCAACTAAGCTTAGGAAATGAAGAAATTTTTTTCTGAGTGTTCGAACTTTGTATTAATAATTTACCGTATATATTTTAAATACCTAAAGAATCCGAAACGTTGATTTATTTGAAACGAAAACAAATATACGTGATTTTAACATCCACGCAAGAAATACAAAAAGAAAAATAGTTTATTTGGTAACCATTATGACAAAAGTATAACAAAAAATAACTTAACCTTGATAAATCATAACTTGATAACCTTGATAAACCATAAAATAAAAGAATTACATTGAAAATGTTGCCACAATGGTCTACACCCAGCTTTTTGTAACGAGAAAACATCTCGTTACGCTGGTTTTCAAAGCCTAGTATAAAGAATTTCAATAATTTTCAGACAGCCTGTATGAGCTGTTTACATAAACGTATTATTGAAAAGGAGTTGCAGTTAATATATTAACACCTCAGTATAAACTACAATAAAAAAAAAAATAATATTTGTGCGCTAGACAGCTACATCAATTACCTGGACTGGATACTTCCCTATACTATGAATACCAGCAGGGCTAGCACAATAGCACAAAAGCCCTAAATTTCTATGCGAGAATAGTCTGTCGCGCTTTATGTCGCTCTCGCGCAAGTCGCGCCCAATCGTGCTAGCCCTACAGAGCTACAAAATTTTATCCAAGGGCACCCAGCACGTAAAGACCAAGATTCAATTACGTAAATATAAAACAAGCTCACAATACTTTTGGTCTATTTATTACGGAACACGAGAGTGAAAATTTTGAATGAAACTGATTTTTCCGCAAATGAACGTAGTAAAAAATGAATTTTGCGGAACTTTATCAATTTGTTGTTATCGCGCAACGTTTATTTAATTGTTTCGGACCCTATAGTTCACTACCGGTATCTTCTGTCTTCATATCAATTAAAAATTAAGTTCTATTCGTATTTTTTAACGTCGAAATACCGATTTTCCGTGTAGTCAAAATGCGTCAAAATGTCTATTTGTATAAAAAGTCTTCTCACTGTAACCTTTAATAGATCAAAATGTACTTTTAGGAACAACATGACTATATCTCATCTCTAAGTTATTTGTAAGCTATAAAAGTTAGGCACCTGGGTGTGTCACGCAATGGAGGTCACGGCGTAGTGGGGCCGCGAGCCCTCTGGCTGGTAGAGCGTGATCGAGGCAATGTAGTTGTTCGACATCACCTGGAAACAACGCACGTGAAATATTTTAGCACTTAGAACTTCTAAGGAACAGTTTCACCTTTATATAGGATATAAAATAAATTAGCGGAAGCGTGGATTTAAATTTTATTAAAAATTTTACAAAAATAATACTTATTAATCTAAACATGGCGGCACAACAAAAACCTGAGTAGGTTTATCCGTGCACCGCAAATGAGCGTACCCTTGTAGCCATAGTTTTGTTCCATAGAACAAAATCATGCGTCAGTCACTTCTTTTTTAAAGCTCCGCACTAGGGAAACCTTTATTTGTCGCGGATGCCATGGACACACACATAAATACAAATATTTCTCCCAACCCGGGAATCGAACCCGGGGCCACTGCGCGGCAGACCAGTATGGACGTTTATAATTTTTCTAGCTTTTCTTCCCTCCCTATTGTTACGGTCATAGTTTTGTAATCCGAGCATTGGTAGCACCGTGACAGTCGTGCATGACTTTATTTGTAACTTCTTGTCGATGAGAATTTATCTATTTCTCTATGATAGCTGCCGCTCGTAAAGCCACCTTAATTTTGCTATTTGTAAATAACTTTTATTTAAAACACGTATAGTATTGGATTGGGGCTATTATTTAACGACCACAACGTAAAACACCTATGTTCCTTGTCCTATTAACCTTAAATCTCTTCTTCATATGTATTCTCCCTTTATTAACATTTTGTGTGACTTTATATGCTCTAATAATATGTTGCTTTAGGTAGTTGTTTATCCATTATTGTTTCTTTACCTTAGGTATGATTTCCACAACGGCAGGCCGCCGTAGAGGATCTTCCAAAAATAAATAAATACCTTGTTGCTGCCTAACTACTAATCTTACAACGCTGACCTTCCTGAAAAGAACGAGCAAGAACCTCTAGGGATTGCTCTTTTCAAATAAACTTAAATGCTATAGAATACATCTTGAATCATATTTGTGTGGAATCTAGACTCACGCTGTCTTTCCACACATCTTTATCTAACACGTAGTCAACAATTTTGTAATAGACTTGTCAATTAAAATACTTTTAATGTAATTAATGATATGTAACATTAACAAATGTGTACGTTTGACGACGACTTTAAAGCTGATTGATATAATTTGTACTGCTTGTTTATGCCCTAGATATCATAGTAACCCCCCTCTATAGGTTCGATGCAACGCCACGTCAGCGCCGACATCTTCTATCCCTATGCATTTACCCCGCAAGAAGTCACTAAAGCATACACCATTCTACAAGACCATGGCCTGAAGAATCCCTGAATAACGCCCTGTCGCTGTCTCGTTAGGTCCCAATTATCTATACCATCCTTCAATTCCGGTTTCTCACACCTTCACTGTTCATGCGGTCAGACTTTGGAACGCCCTTCCCTTCACTTCAATTTTCAAAATGAGAGTTAAGGAGCACTATTTATCGACTGTTCCATCCATTGTATAGGTATTATAGTACGAAATATGTATTTAGGTAAGCATTTAATATAGTTTTAAAAATTTAATGTTTTTGATATTGGAAATGAAACTATTTTTCCGGATTTAAATCGCGTATATTTGTTTTT